CATAGGCATCTTATATGGCAGGGGTCCTCAAACTTGGCCACTTTAAGACTTGAGGACTTCAACTCCCAGAATTCCCCAGCCAGCATGCTGGCTGGGGAATTCTGAGAGTTGAAGTCCACAAGTCTTAAAGTGGCCAAGTTTGAGGACCCCTGTTATATGGTCAGGAGACAGATTTCTTATATGAGACAGGGTTTCGGCTGGGAAACCCTGCAAAGGGGAAACTGATCGTAAGATGATCAAAGGCCCCCAGAGGCTTCGTGGACCGGATGAAGGGTGCCATAGCGGCACGGATGGAGGCGTGGGTAGAGTGATTGGGTATGGTAGGGTTTATGAGGGTGAGAGGGGGATTGAGGGTGCTGAGGCACGGAGGGTGTTAGGTGAAGATTTACCATCGGAGGACTCGTTGAGTAAAGAGGGTTTGAATGTAGGTGGGTGCTTGAAAAGTGGGGTGGATGGGTGTGAATGGGGAGTGCCCGATCGGCGGGGACACCCCCTCACCAGACTGCGCACGGAAAGAGAGCTCTGAGGCACAAGAGGACGACCCCTGATGGTGGACGAGAGAGAAAAGGGGGGACCTGGAGACAGATTCATGAAGCGCGACAACAGTAGGAGGATGGAGGGGGGAGCAATCGGTATGATGGCATAGGGAGTGAGCCAGCCGACACGGGCGAAAGAGAAAGGGGGGGAGAGGTTGACTGCAGCTGGATCAAACCCCGCAGGACCAATGGGCTTGAGGAGAAGGATGTGGAAGGTAAAACTGATGGGAGGCATGGGAAAGAACCCCCCGTTGCCCCCGGTAAGGACACCCAAGGACCGGATGGTGACAAACAGGAAAGGGAGGTAAAGAGTTTACACGCGGGTAGAAAGAAGGCATCCAGAGCGCAGGAGCGCACGCACCTGGGCCCGATTACACGGTCGCGTAGCCGGATGCAAGCACTTGGAGGCGGCATATAAGCCCTCCCCGAAACCGCCTTATCAACCCTGATGATGTCGGGAGAGCCCGACGAAAGCTTGGTTGCCTGTATTTTAATATTTTAATTGCTTTTAATCTTTTAATTGCTTTTAAATATTTTAAATTTCCTCTTGGTGGTCGTGATTATTTCGTTTTGACATGAATATACCCAAGAGTCGAATTTTTAGTTCCATTACTAGTCATATATATATATATATATATATATATATATATATATATATATATATATATATATATATATATATATATATATATATATATATATATATATAATTCATAGGAGAATATATGGTCAGGAGACAGGGCGATTGCAATTGCAGTATTTTATTACTTCTATTTTATTTTAATATTTAATTTTAATTATCACATTAGAAACTGCCTATCTCCCTTACAGAGGGACTCTGGGCAACGTACAAATAACATATCAAAAACATAAAACCCAAAGATCAAAATTTAAAATAGAGGCCAGGATAGTTAAACATTGACATTAAAAATTAATTTGTTTCTCCTTATTTTTGCCAGAAAGGCAGCAGCAAGTGAGTACCCCTGCCCCCACAACAGAAATGAAGAAGGAGGCAGTGAAGGAAATTTAGGGGCATCAGTGGAAACTACCAAGCTGCTATTTCCGATAAAGAGGTGGCAAGGTGTGAAAAAGGATTTGGAGAGAGAAGAACTGACACACCCAGCCTATTTCCCACTACCACCCAAAATGGGCTCAGCCCTCTCATGGAGATCATGGGCAAAATTAATTACAAGTATAGATCGTCTTCTTTTATTACTCTCAAAATGTTCATACAAGAGTTTAAAAAACCAAGTGAGGGTTCTCTGCAGGGCAGCTACAGGATATCAGAATAACAGAGTTGGAAGGGACCTTGGAGGTCTTGTAGTCCCTAAGCAGGAGACTCTGTATACCATTTCAGACCAATGATTGTTTAATCTCTTCATAAAAACCTCTAGTGATGCAGCACCCACAACTTCTGAAGGCAGGTTGTTCCACTGATTAATTGTTCTCACAGTTAGGAAATTTCTCCTTAGTTCTAGGTTGCTTCTCTCCTTGGTTAGTTGCCATCCATTGCTTCTTGACCTGCCTTCAGGTGCTTTGGATAATAGGTGATCCCCTCTTCTTTGTGGTAGCCTCTCAAATATTGGAACACTGTTATCATGTCACCCTAATCCTTCAATACCTCAAGTTCCCGAGATTTTAAATAAGGTTGTGTTTTGGCTGCACTTTTTTGTTAGTAAAATTGCCATATATTGAAGCAGATTTCCCCCACCACCACCAACAACAACATGCCTGGGAGGAAAGTTTATCCTGTATATTTTTGCTGAGAGGTTAATCTGGACTTCTTGGCCTCCAGTTACACTTTAGCTAAGTATCCGAGAAAACTAATTAGCCAGCAGTTATAGCAAAATCAAGGTTATTAATCTGAACAAAAGTCGTTGAGATCTAAGGGGAGTGGCACTCCTTGGTAGAACAGATTGCATTTTTTTATATATTGTCTGACTTTTTCCTTGATCTAGTAGTAGAGCTGGATATTATCAATCAAGTTTTGAATTTGACAGCTGGCCAGCAAGTGAACAAAGTAGTTTAATGTTTGCATTCGGCAGGTGGATATCAAATTCAGCCATTTTATACCTACTGCAATAAAAATGTATTGCTTGTTTTTCCTGCAGTGCTAAAAGTTTAGCTTTAAAATCTACCTCAGGCCTCAAATATTTTTGGAGTAAATTGTTGAGGTCAATACTTAGAACATCCAAGTCCACAGCTTGGGACTTGGATTTTTTTTTTACATTGATGAAATTGGTCCTATCTCAGATCTATCACCAGAATTAGATTATTGAATTATTCACTCAAATGGTTTCTGCTTGGTACCACATTTATTAAACTAGTCTTTTAGACCAGGGGTTCCCAACCAGGGATGCGAGACGATATTGCAGGGGATGCAAAAACTTGGGTTTTCAAAATTATAGTATATGTGCATAATTCGTTGCCGTTATTTTGAACTTTTGTAAGGGGTGCGAGAATATATCAGAAGCGTTCTAGGGGTGCGGGGTATAGAAAAGGTTGGGAGCCACTGTTTTAGACCAAAGAGGAATTAGGCCAGTTAATTGTTTACTGTTACTCCTGATTTCAAAATCTAGTTCATAATCGTTTTCTCTTCGAGCTTTTTAGTTCTTTGAGGTTTTTCTTTTAAACAAATGTTGATCTTGGATATATATGAAAATGACTTAAGAAATGTTAAAATAATGAGGTTGCTTCCTAAATAATGGGGTGAAAATTGGCTTGAATTTGAATTTTATTTAAAGCATATTTCCAATTGTACTTTTAGAAGTTCTATGACTTGATTAAAGATCAGCTAACTTCTGTCAACAACAATATTAATACTGTTTTAAGAGAACTTCACATATCATAAATTTTGCCCACATGGTGAAAATTTCTCCCTTGTTTTCTGACATTCAATCAATATTTTTAAATCTAACTTTGGATGCAAAGTTAATTGAATCAAGCCATAAAAATTTTATTTTCTGGTTTCTTACACATAATTTTGACCATAGTAGCAGTTTTACTTTATCAGCTTTATCTTCACAGCTGCCTGCCAAAAATAAATCCCATTATCACACTTATAAATGCCATTTATAATGCTCATTTTAAAATAAACTGGCATAAAAGCCAGTTAGGCTTAGCAGTTAAGGCAGCAGGCTAGAAAGTGGGAGACTGTGAGTTCTAGTCCCGCCTTAGCCCTGAAAGCCAGCTGTGTGGCTTTGGGCCAGTCACTTTCTCTCAACTCAACCTACCTCACAGGATTGTTGTTACAGGGAAAATAGGAGGAAGAAAGTGTGGTGGATATGTTAACCGCATTGAGTTATTTGTAAAAATAATAAAGGCTGGATGCAAATACATTTTATGTGATGATCCAGGTTTTTTTTATTGTCAATGTTATCCCTTCTTCGCTGTAACCTGTAGATGCATGTTTTCTTCATGCTTGTATTTATCAATGTACATATGAAGATTTCCCCAGAATTTCTGTATTGTTTCTTGCTTTGCTTGGTGTGGGGTATTTTTAAACTTGTTTTACTTAATATGCAGTCCATGTGGATTTACGGATGGGAAGAATTGGAACTGGATTTACTAATTCTGTTACAAAACACAGAGACTGATTATATTTGAGAGTCAAATATAATCTAGTGGCTAAAGAAAGAAGAGTTATAAATCTCAGTTCTGCTGTGAGAGTACTGATGTCTGTAACCAACTGATTCATTCATCTCTAGTTTCCAAACTTCAGTAGGAAATTGCAAAAGGTGCTTAAAAGCCTTTTGTAACCTTTGCCGTAAAGGCAGGAAACAGGAAATAAACAGGGAAACCATTCGGGAAGAAAAGAAATAGAAAATGCAGCCTAAACTGGTGCTTTCACTTGAGAGTTTAAATTTCACCTGGATGGCCCTGCTCACCTGGCATTTTCCATTTGAAGGATTAGAGAACTCCTTTTGGTGGGAAATAATTTTAGGCTGTGTGACCCAATAATCCAAAGAAATGATGTGGTTTGACCTAGAAAAAGTCTGAGCATTTAGAAAACAGGCTTGAGTAGATGTTTTTCCCTGCCTTTAAGCCACAGGATTTGGTTGCCTTTGTGATACACCAAGGCAGTGGAAAAACTGCACTGTCAGAAATTTCCCAGGAGAGGAGAAAAACTAGCAACAGGTGAGGCTGTGAGTTAGAAAAGGTGGAGCAAGCAGCGTCAAACCTCACCTGTCACCTGGGAGGGTGGAGGCTGGAATCGGGAAACAAACAGCGAAACCTGATCAGAAGGAAAGGATCTGGAGATTGCCTAGGCTGATTGTCCAACTACAGAGCCTTTGGTGGACCTCAGAAGTTTGATATCTCCCCTGGAACCTTGGATGGCATAGATCACCTTTGGCTTTCTTTTCTTGAAGATGCCTTATTCCATGGGGAAATAGGACAAGCCAGGTCCTGCATGCCAGTTCTTTCTCTGGCCTTTTGAACCCGCCTGAAACCAGTGAGACCAGCATCCTGGCTTGCAAAATCTCCCCACTCTAACCAGTCTGAGGGACAGGTCTTCCTAGACTACTCTAGAGACTCTATGGTTCCATGACTTCCTCCAGGAACCCAGAGGAAGAGCACCTTCGCAGTCCTTTCCCTCTTACTCCCCCACCAGCTCTGCGGGATGAGTACTACCCTTTTGGGGATGAGGGCCAGCCCCCCTTTGGCGGGGATGCTGCTGCGGCTGGAGCCGCAGGGGAAGGGGATCCCGAAGACACGGATCTGGGGGTGCTGCTTCAGAGAAAAGAACAGGACTTGTTGTTGGCAGCAGAATTGGGAAAGATGCTCCTGGAACGTAACGAGGAACTGGAACGACGCTATGATGAACTGATGAAGGAACATTTGGAAGTCAAAGAGGTGAGGCAGGTGACTGGAGTAAAGAGCAGACAGGAGAAGACCTGATACCGACCAAGATTCTTTCATCAGATGCAAAATTGCTAGGATTAGGGTTGAGGTTAGGATTAGAGTTAGGTTGGAGTTGAGGTTGGGATTAGGGATAAATTTGGGGTTGAGATTAGGGTAGAGGTTGGAGTTAGGGTTAGGTCTGGGATTAGAGTCAGAATTAAGGTCATGGTTGGGATTAGGGATGGGATTAGGCCAGTAGTGGGATTCAAATATGTCAACAACCGGTTCCCTGTGTGGATGCCACTTCCATTCTGGGCCTAAGCAACAAAAAATTAGCTACCGGTTCTGCCAAAGTGGTGCGAACCGGCTGAATCCCATCACTAGATTAGGCCCCATCATGTTCTCTCTGTTTAGTTGAAAAATAACTTTGGTTGCATAAGGGCATTCTTTGAAGTAGGAATGTTCTGTAGTCTTTTTCTTCCATAGGTTTTCTCACAGGAGGAGTAGCAGTTTGACCTCAATAGTGATATAGAGGTATCTGCTGTATCTCCACACCCTTTGTTCTGAGCACAGATGCGTGCCAGCATCCCCATTCACTCCCTTGTATTTACACCTATTTTTATTCAGCACCTAGTAACCACTCATTTTCAAAACTTCTTGTTTTGAAATTGCTTCATGCTTTGCTTCTCTCTTCTCTTCTGTCATTTAATCATTATTTATTTGACTTTATGAACTGCCCGATTCCTACTTCTGGTTGATTTGCCCAATAGCGGATGATTTGCCTAACTCTTTGAAGCGGAAGAGCTACATGGTGGCCTCCCACAAGCTATGGACAACCATGAACTTGTGACATTTAGGGTGGAATACTGAACAAAATAAAATAGTGCGCAGGTGCGTGAACCAGCTGCATGTAACTCCACAGTGTGTTCAGGAGTGTGAAGCGGAGTTGCTAAGGAAAAGAGGCTGTGCGAAGTGAACTCCAAAACCCTATGTAGGTACTTTAGTCCTCCACTTACGACCACAACTGGGACCCAGAATTTCCACTGTTAAACAAGATGGTTGTTAAGTGAGTTGCATCCAATTTTACGATCTTTTTTGCTACGGCTGTTAAGTGAATCACTTCAGTTGTGAAGGGAATCACATGGTGGTTAAGCAAACCCTGCTTCTCCCCAATGACTTTGTTGTTAGAAATGAACTGGGAAGGTCACAAATGGCGATCACATGACCCCAGGTTGCAGCAACTATCTTAAATGCATGGCGGTTGCTAAGCACCCAAATTCACACGATGCTGTGATGGTCATAAGTGCAGAGGACCAGTCATAACTTTTTCCAGTGTCATTGTAATGTTTGAACCGTCGCTAAACAAATGGTGGTTAAGTTGAGAACTAGCTGTATACCCCATCCCAACATAACTCACTGCTGTAGACTGGATTGTGAGGTTGTCTTCCGGAGTTATTTACTAGAGTTACTGGAATGGCCAAGCCACCCCTGCCTCCTGAGGCTGCCTGTGTCTTGTCATCAGATCATGGTTTACACAGTTTCATCCCATTGCTTTTCATGTCACAAAACATGAAAGTCGGGAGCTTTCTTTGGCAGAAGCTCCTCTTCCCCCCACACTCCCAAGGGCTGTTTCCACTCAGAACTGCAAATCAAAAAACATTTCCAACGGATTTCAATATATGACTTAACAGGAATGTATTAAGTGGATTTACATTGTCCTTATGATCACAAGTGGGACCAGAATTGCCATTGCTAAGCAAGACAGCTGTTAGTCATGACCAATTTTATGACCTTTTTTAAAAACCATAAAACAGTCATTAAGTGAATACGGCTTGCCCCATTGACTTTGCTTGTCAGAAGACGGCTGGGAAATGGTCACAAATGGCGATCGCATAACCCCTGGATGCTGTAAATACGTGCTGGTTATTTAGCACCTGATTTTGATCATGTGACCGTGAGGGTGCTGCGGATGTGAGGATCGGTCCCAAGTCACTTTTTCATTGCCATTGTAACATCAAACAGTTGCTAAACGAATGGTTGTAAATTGAGGACCACTTGTGATCCCACAAGATACAAATCACCAACATGAGAAAGAATGCTTAATACAGTATGTGGAGGTTTTAGACCTCTACTTGAAAAACTGGACAACCATTTGTCTGAAATTGTATAGGGTTTCCTGCCTGAGCAGGGGGTTGGACTAGAAGACCTCCAAGGTCCCTTCCAACTTTGTTATTCTGTTATTCTGTTAAAACATTACCCTTTGCTTCAACTGATCATATACCTAAGGCATTGTGCCTATCCCCAGCGAGGAGCAGGTAGACAATAAATAGAATTAGTGTTTTCCAGATATATGTAGGGTATCCACCCTTAGGCCTTGCAGTCCAGCAGATCTGGAAAGTTGCCAGGTTAGTTTTCTTGAAGCTGTGCCTACCACATGTTTAAACATTGCTCGTTCTAACATGGGAATTCTTGTTTAGCATGTGCAGCAACATTGGCATCTGCCGGAATCATCTGTGTTTTTTCAGAGAAGCCAGAGAAATGGACTTTCAGGAAGTCCATTCCCTTGTTTTCCCTGCCTTCTTAGTCTCTCATTGTTTTCCCCTCTCAAACACCTTGCTCTCCAAGTCCTTAACCTCAGATGGAACAGATACCAACTAGGGCAGTGGTTCTCAACCTTTTTAATGCCACGACCGCCAACCGGTCGTAAGTCGAGGACTAAACCGGTCGTAAGTCGAGGACTAAACCGGTCGTAAGTCGAGGACTACCCAACCGGTCGTAAGTCGAGGACTTTCCCTGCCCGGGAGCGCCGCACATGCGTGGTTCCGCCCCCTGCACCGGCCGAGGCGTAGCTGGCAAGCGGCAGAGATGGAGCAGGCCGACCACCAGCTGGCCCAGCCCAAGGGAGGTAAGGCACCTGCCGGAAAAGGGGAAAAAAAAATGGCGGACAGTCTTGCTTGGCGACCCCCGTGAAATGGTCGATCGACCCCAAATGGGGTCGCGACCCATAGGTTGAGAACCGCTGAACTAGGGGATTTCTGGACACACTACCCATGGCAACTGGGAGAACCAGTTTGGCCCAGAGGAAGTCACTGCCGAACCAACGTGAGTCTGCTACCAGGGTGGATATAATTAGCTAAGAGGGAAAGAAGGATATAAAAGTGACTGAAACTGGCAGGAACAGAAGTGAGAAAGCACCCAGTGTGAATCACTCTGTTTCCACAGGACCTCACCCACCAAATATTCTGCAAAGGGCTGTGCCTCTTTTTAAGCCATGGCAATTACAGCTTTACGACACTCTTGCAAAGCAGTGTTCTTTTGCTGTCCCAAGCCTGCTTGACTGTTGTTAGTGCGATCTTGTTAGGAGATCTACCTTCCCATACTTCCTCCAGGTGTGCCAAAATGGAGTAAGATTCCTTTTTTAAATACTTTTCCCTCTGTGTGTATTTGCATTTTATTGGCACTGCCTGGGGAATCTGCTGCTGGGGAAATTGACAACCTGTTCATTAGGGATTATATAGCCTGTGGAATCTGTTGCTGTAACTTGATTTCCAGGAAAGTTCAACAAAAATCCAAGCAAAGGAAGGAAAAATACAGAAAAAAAATAACAATAACTTTAATTATTGCTAGCCAGCAAATAAAACAAGCGACAAAAGAAAACACCAGATTGGCAGTAGCAGCAGGCTGCAATTCGTTTACTGTTCGTTTACTCTCAGCCACTAATTGGTGGATTGCTGGCAGAAAACAAGGCAGCCAACTTGGCAGGCCTGTTTTTTGCTGGCAAGCAAGCAACAAGTTGTACCATTGTGGTGTTTCAGCATATGCAGTGAAGTCTCCACACAAGGCCTGATTCACCCTGGCTTCATATCCCAGGCACATAAAATTTCTGTACAGGTAGTCCTCGATTTATGACCACGATTGGGCATTTCTGTTGCTAAGCAAGGCAGTTATTTTACAGCCGTTTTTTGCAGAGGTTGTTAAAAAAAATCACTGTACTGATTAAGTGAATCATGCAGTCATTCAGAGAATCTGGCTTCCACCACTGAGTCTCCTTGTTGGAATCTGGCTGAGAAAGTTGCTAGTGGCAATCACACAATCCTGAAACATTGCAACCGTTTGGTCTAGTGACATCTTTAAGACTTGTGGACTTCAGCTCCCAGAATTCCCCAGCCAGCATAGCCAACTGGGTGACTTTGGGCCAGTCACTCTCTCTTAGTCCAGCTCACCTCACAGGGTTGTTGTGGGGGGGAAATAGATGAAGGCGTTTTGACTATGTTTGCTGCCTAATTTTTAAAAGAAATAAATGTGGAATACAAACAAACAATGGCAAAGGCATGTCGATGGCAAAGTGCCCTAATTTTGATCATATGACAATGGGGAATGCCGCAAGCATGAGGACCGGCTATAAGTCACATTTTTTCACTTCTATTGCAACTTTGAATGGTCACTAACTGAATGGTTGTTAAGTCGAGGACTACCTGTGTAGGGTGAAGCCAGCTGTACCTTGTGGCACTCAGTTGTGGATAATTCTGCTAGGAAATTCTTGAATAGGGCCGACTTCCTCTATGGGGAAATGAATTTACAGTGCATTGGGAGTGACCCTATCATGAGGCAGGGCCCTTGATTCAGTCCTTAGAGGACAATGATTGCTGACACCTCACGTTATGTAATCCCTGGAAAGCACTTCCAACAGTGCCTAAGGTAGTGAAGAGACAAACAGTGTGATCTCTGAGAGCAGGAGGGATCCCTTTTAGAATAGAATAGAATAGAATAGAATAGAATAGAATAGAATAGAATAGAATAGAATAGAATAGAATAGAATAGAGCTGGAAGGGATCTTGGAGGTTTTCTAGTCCAGCCCTCTGCTCAAGCAGGAGAACCTACACCATCTCAGACAGGTGAATGTCTAGTCTCTTCTTAAAAATCTCCAGTGATGGAGCGCCCACAATTTCTGGGGGTAAGCTGTTCCACTGTTTAATTCTCCTCATTGTCAGGAAGTTTCTCCTTAGTTCCAGGTTGCCTTTCTCTTTGGTCAGTTTCCAACCATTGTTTCTTCTCCTTCCCTCTGGTGCTCTGGTGAACAACCTGGCCCCCTCTGCCTTGTGGCAGCCCCTCAGATACTGGAACACTGCTATCATGTCTCCACTGTTTCTTCTTTTCTTTAGACTAGCCCAGGGGTAGGCAACCTTGGCTCTTTTATGACTCGTGGACTTCAATTCCCAGAATTCTTGAGCCAGCATGGCTGACTCAGGAATTCTGGGAGTTGAAGTCCACGAGTCATAAAAGAGCCAAGGTTGCCTACCCCTGGACTAGCCAAACCCAAGTCCCGCACCGTTCTTCATATGTTTTAGCCTCCAGGCCTTTGGTCATTTTAGTTGCTCTTCTCTGAATTTTTTCCAAACTCTCAACAACTTTTTTTGTGATATGGTGACCAAAACTTGTTGCAGTATTCCAGGTGTGGTCTTAATAGGGCTTTATAAAGCGGTAATAGTACTTCGCGTGATCTTGATTCTATGCCTTTCTTCCCAAATCACTTGGGCTGCCCCAGGGACCTTTTGACTCTCAATAATGGACCCTTGCCTTTCTTGTGGGACTTGACTGCAGAGTCAAAGTTCACGTTAATACTCCGTGTCCATCCTCATGAAAGACTAATGAGGTAGGGCCACTTTTCTACATGCAGAAGCAGGTTGGGTTGGCATTTGAAACTTAATTCCAGGTGATACCCACCGTCACAGCCAAGGCAATTGGCTGGTTTAGGGAGCCATAAGATAGGCCAGATGGCTTGAGTCAATCTGGCTTTTGTTGTATGTTCTTAGACCCTTCTGTCACAGGGGCTGGCAGTTTGACCTTCCCTAATAACAGGAAAGTCCTGTCTCTGGTGCCCAGTGAGATGCTGCCTCAAAAAAGAAAGAAAGAAAGGGTTACATTCATGAAGCTTTTGAAAAAAATGACTTTTGCGTTCAAGAGTAGAGCCTGGAGCTTATGGTGTCCTGTTTTCAGGATCTGCTGACTGTAGGATGTCTACCATCTGGTGTCCTCCAGATATGATGGACTCTCCTTCCAGTATTTTGGCATCTGATGTTGAATGCAGCAGATCTTTAAAAAGTCAGATTTTATAAAAAATGAGAGCTTCTAGAGAAACTTTGAGCACTGAGCTCTGAACAAATCCAGCCTGAAGTCCCGGAGATTGGGACCACTCAGGGAAATGCAGCAGATTTAACGGACAGCAAGGCTAGCAGAGGCCTCTATATCCCTGTGCTCCAATCTAGTACCACAATTTGGCTGAAGGTTTAATAATTTTTGCTAATAATTAAAGAACACCTAGACCAGGGGTAGGCAACCTTGGCTCTTTTATGACTCGTGGACTTCAACTCCCAGAATTCCTGAGCCAGCCATGCCGAGGGGAAAGAGAGAAGTTTCCAAGCTGAGCCATGCTGGCTCAGGAATTCTGGGAGTTGAAGTCCACGAGTCATAAAAGAGCCAAGGTTGCCTACCCCTGCACTAGACACTGAAAAGATTTCTCTTTCCAGTTGAAAATCATTCATTGGTTATATCTGAATATGTATTCTGAATAGGGAAGATGGCTTACCAGTTGTAGAGCTTTTTGTTTATGTAATTAGGGCATTTGATATCTAATCATCTTTTTACTCTTCCTTAAAATCATCCTTTGAGATAGACCAAAATAGTCCTCGACATTTGACCACAACTGAGCCCAAAATTTCTGTTGCTAAGCGAAACAGTTGTTAAGTGAATTTTGCCTCACTTTGTGACTTTCTTGCTTCAGTTAAGTGAATCACTGCAGTTGTTAAATTAGTAACAGGGTTGTGAAGTGAATCTGGCTTCCCCATTGACTTTGTCTGTCAGAGGATGGCAAACGGTGATCACATGACGCCGGATCACTGCAACCCTCATAGATATGAACCAGTTGCCAAGCATCTGAATTTTGATCACGTGACCATGAGGATGTTGCAACAGTTGTAAGAAAAATGGTCATAAGTCACTTTTTTTCAGTGCTGATGTAACTCTGAACAGTCACTAAATGAACTGTTGTAAGTCGAGGACTACCTGTATCAAAAATTTGAATGCTTAGTACAGGGGTAGGCAACCTTGGCTCTTTTATGACTCGTGGGCTATGCTGGCTCAGGAATTCTGGGAGTTGAAGTCCACGAGTCATAAAAGAGCCAAGGTTGCCTATTCCTGGCTTAGTAGAAGGTGTGATTTGAAGTCAAGGTACCCTGGATCCCAGATCACCTTCTGAATCCTTCTTCTACACCGGCCTTGAGTCCTCTTCCTTCTGGCCCTCATATCTCTGGCTCTGCTTTCTGCAGCATCTTGAACAAGAGAAACATGAACTCCGGCGACACCTCGAATCAGGCCGGGCAGAATTTGAGACCCGGACGGCAGAGCTGGAGGCTGACTTGGTGGCCGCCCGAGCCCAGCTGGGGCAGAAGCGTCTGGAACAGCAGGACACCAGTCGAGAGAGCTCACAGGCGGTCTTGGACCTTTCAGAGCAGAATCAACGTCTGGTGGAACAGCTCAGTCAGGTGAGGTGGAACTTTGACGGGGTTTTGTCTACCCTATTGGGAAGGAGAAGGGCTAAGAGGGAGGCCTTCTGGTGTATTTCACCAGCTGCAGGGCGGTTAGGTCAATCAACAGAGAAAGCTCTTTTATGGGCAAGGAAGCACCATGTTAATTTTATTCATGCAACAAATCAGTCAAAGGTTGCTTCTGCTGCCAATTCTGTGCCCATGAAGGTAAAAGGGCAAAAGATCAAATTTATGACTGCAATCTAGTAGGTTTTGGTTCTCAATGTTCTTGTTAAGAGAAGAGGAAGCTTGGCTTCTAGGCTAAAGGCCTCTACTGTAATATATTTTAGCACGCTGTCATATCCAGCAGCTGAGAATATATGAAGCTCAGGGTTGAGCTGACAAGTTCTTAATGTTCTCTGGGCTTGGCTGTTTTCCTGCAGATGTTTAATAAACATCCAGACTGGGAAACAGGGAAATAAGTAAGAACTCAACGCTGGATATGAATCATCTGGATTAGAGGCTGAGGTAGTTTTCAGGTGAATCACTCATGTTAAAAAAGGTGTACTGAGTATCCTGAAGGGGATTCTATAAGTTTCAGAGGAAAGAAAGAGATGGCCGAATGAGGTGCCATCTTTTAAAATATCTCACACCTTGTTTGATCTGCTGGTTGCAGAAATGCACAAGAGACGGAGGATTCAAACCACTGAAATCTCAGAAGTGTGTGTCAGGCTAAGCCATTGTAAATCTTAAAATAAATCAGTGTGGTCAATCTTGCTGAGTTCATAGACCAGTGATGGCGAACCTTTTAGAGACTGAGTGCCCAAAACCCACCCCCCGCCCCCACTCCACCTCCCGCCCTGCCTGCTCCGCCCCTGCCCACCCCTTGCCCCGCCCACCCGCAGGGCCATGCACCGCCTCCATGGCCCACCACAGATTGCCCAGGCAGCCCTGTAGCGCCATGGCAGCCACGCTCTCCGCCCACACTCCGCAGCATCATCTGCACGCTATGGGGCACAAGAGCGGAGTCTTGTCCCTGCTTCCCAGCTATGTTCTTGGCTGCACTGCCCAGGGGGGAGACTCTCCTCTAGGGAGGCTGCTGGTGAGGAGGGGGCCGTGGGGGGAGGCGGGGCTGGGGCAACAGCATGTGTGCTCACAGAGAGGGCTCCAAGTGCTGCCAGAGAGGGCTCCACGCGTGCCATAGGTTCGCCACCACTGTCATAGACCTTTGCTGAATCCCATCCTTGTTAAAAAGGCTAAATTCACTAGTATTCCTAAATGGAATATTGCGGGTAGGGGTAGGAAGAGAGAAGGGGAGGAATCTTCCCTAGCCAAGTTCCTTCCAAGGATTGAACTACAATTCCCATCATTCTGACCTATATCAATCTGGAAAACTTACCAAGCCTCCATCTCCCATCAGTCTCAAGCTCTTGATACGAATGATGGAGATTGTAGTTCACCAATATTTGAAAAGCCCTAGGTTCCCCACAGGTGAGGTGGATGATGTTAAACATTTTTGAAATGGGGACTTCATTTTTCGATGCAAATAAAAGTTCATTCTCACTACAATAACAGCCCACTGGATGGAATTAGATCGAAAAACATCTGAGTCACATTATGTTGTTCCTATAACAGCACTAACAAGACTGGCAGGATTCTAACAACGTAGGAATCTAACCACAAGTAAGATAAGAAAGTCAAACAAGTGACGATAAGGGCTCTAAAATACTCCCTGCCCTCAAAAGTTAAACGAAGAGATGCCATCATAGATTAAAAAAAAACCATTTAAAAATTAAAGTCACTGGCCTGATTCTTTTTGTGCCTTTGCATTTCTGAAATTTATTAATGGGATGTAAAAGTGGGTTTGGGGTTTCTTTTTGTAAAATGAACAATTATATTGTTTGGTGACACACAGCCAAAGTATTACTGAAATCTAGTACAGGTAGTCTTCAATGTACGGCCTCAACTGAGCCCAAAATTTCTGTTGCTAAGCGAGATAGTTGTTAAGTGAGTTTTGCTCCATTTTATGACCTTTCTTGACACAGTTGTTAAGTGAATCATTGCAGTTGTTAGGTTAGCAACACAGTTAAGTGAATCTGGCTTTCCCATTCACTTTGCTTGTCAGAAAGTCGCAAAAGGGGATCCCAGGGCACGTGACCCCAGGGCACTGCAGCTGTCATAAATAAGAGCCAGTTGCCAAGCATCCAAATTTTGATCTCCATAACCATGGGGACGCTACAACAGTCGTAAGTGTGAAAAAAGGTAATAAGTCACTTTTTTCAGTACCATTGTAACTTCGAATGGTCACTGAATGAACTGTTGTAAGTTGAGGACTACCTGTAGTATTCTCTTTCTCTTATTAATATTTGATACCTGCGTTGGTGTCCAATAACGCTAGCAAACTAAGAAGTTGTTTGATTAAAATATAATTGTGCAAATCTTTAATTTTCCTTTTAACATTCAGGCCTGGAGTCTGTTCTTATCTTTGGGAAATTAAGTAAAACTAAATCCTGCATATCTTGGAGATACTGTTTAGGGGGCCTTAGGGCAAAGGTCAAACCAAGTCTCTTGGCTCAGTTAATAAGAAAGAGGGACTCCTAGTTATGACTTCTTTCCAGAAACAACATCCCTTTGAAAAGCTTGTAGCTAAGTTGCAGATGTTCATTTCCCAAGTCATTAAATTGATAAGGAAAGGCATTCTTTACATATGCTAACAGGAAGTTCTTCCTTAGACAACTACCCAGTACACATTTCACACAGTTCTTTCATGAGCCTGAGTATTGGGTTGCACTGATAGTCCTCCTCTTATGACCAGTCACTTAGCAACCATTCAGAGTTACAGTTGAAATATAGGTAGTCCTCGATTTACGACTGCAATTGAGCCCAAATTTTCTGTCATTGTTAAGTGAATTCCCCCCCCCCATTTTATGACCTTTCTTGCCACATGTGTTAAGTGAATCACTGCAGTTGTTAAGTTAGCAACATGGTTTTCAATGAATCTGGCTTCCCCACTGACAGAAGATCACAAAAGGTGATCACATGACCCTGGGACACTGCAACCATCATAAATATGAATCAGTTGGCAAGTGTCTGAATTTTGATCATGTGACCCTGGGGGATGCTGCAATGGTTATAAATGTGAAAAATGGTCATGTCACTTTTTTCAGTGCTGTTGTAACTTTAAACAGTAACTGAATGAACTGTTGTAAGTCGAAGACTACTTGTTCCTGGGAACTACTTATGGCCCAGATTCGAAGCTCAGACAGTCCCCTCCCCAAGTAATGTGACTGAACTTCAGGCTCTTGGCAATTTGACCCCACTTAATGGCTGCTTGCAGCATCCCATGGTCAACTGGTTGTGATTTATGATGATTTTGCCAAAATTCAGCAGTTACTTCCACTTTGGGGCAAAACTGCACCTATCGTGAACCCTTGGTTTGCTTAATGACTGTGTTTGTTTAATGACCATGGTAGCCACTTTATGATCCCTGTGTGAGTTAAACAACCGTCACAAAATAGATTGCAAAATCGGGTTAGTCACCTGGTTGACCTATCTTACAATTGTCATGACTTACAAATGGGATGGGAAGGGTCTATTATAATCGTGAGACGAGGACTACCTGCATTTGGAGGTGAAGCACATTTTGTGCCACCTAGAGCCAAGAATAGCTTGGAAAAGAGGTTTAAAGAAGCTCTCCGGTTATCAAAGCCTAACCAAGAGCTGTCTGCTCCATCCCCTATAATAGGTCACTCACTTGGAGCAGCAGCTCCAGGAAGATCTGGCTGTATTACGTGCAGAACATCGGACCCTGAGCCTTTGCAATGCTGAGCATGCTGCACGGATGCAAAGTCTGCAAGCTGAGGTAAGAAAAAAGGCTGTCGATTAATGCCCCTCTTCGGGCCAGGGATGGCAGGCAGGTAAAAGACTAATCCTTTCTTTTCCATCAGTCTAGGGGTGTTATAGCTTAATCTGAACATGGTTGATTTAGCATGCACAGTCTTATTGCACGAGATAACCCAGGAGTAAACACAGTAAACAGTGGTCTATAGTAAATGGTGGTTTATCTTACACTATCTACAATATCATACACCAGGAACAATATACATACACGTGCTAATACAGCAGGATCCAACAAACCACAGTTACAGCAGGAAACAGAAAAGAGAGAACACATCAGCGGAGCCTTCCCTTTATACAAAGGCTCTTAAAGAGACACAGACCCTGCTGAATCATTCCCATCATTACATCTTATATCTTACATTGCATAAGCTGGTTAGCTGTTAAATCAATACCTTGACAACACACACTAAACTGGTAACTGATGACTCAGAGCTACTGTACTAGATCTGGGCTTCAAAAATACTGACAACCACCTGATGGCAGCACAGACTTGGTGTTTGCTGCCATTTTGCTGCCATCTAGAGGTCATGTGGAATTCTGCAGCCCCCATCTAGTAGCCCTAAACAACTCTCCCCTCTGTTCTCAAACCTATGTTGCACAGTTCAGGTTGGCCAAAGCTAAAGAAAGGACATGGTTTGTTGTGTTCAAGTTGGTCTTCCTTCCCTCTTCATACACATTCTGTTCCTGAAATTAAGAAGCCATGCCCTCCAACTCTTAAAAACATCCCATAGTCCAGGGGTCCCCAACCCATTACTAGGCCTTGAGTCTTTCAGAACTGGGCCATGGAAGTGGCAGGTGAACACGTGTGTTCATGCATGCATTCACACTTATGCAAGCAGTGGGCGAGCATGTTTGCGTGCACTCCATTTGCCCAAGAAGTGGGTGCGTTTGCCAACACAAATGGAGTTGCAAACACGCTCACCAACTTCTCACACAAAACCATCCCCTCCCCCCCCCACTTGCTGGTCCACAAAGCCAAAAAGATTGGGGAATTCTGCAATAGCCCCATGTATGAACATCTGATTCTAAACATTACTGTGAAAGTCTTCATCTGTAGAGGCAATAATCAATCTTTGAGTTCCTTCAGTCCCCAATATGATTGATTCTTAGCATGTATCCTAGGTCTTTTTTTCCCCAAGATTCAGGAAATGCTGGGCAATTTGGAGTCTCTGTTTATATTTCCTACAAGGCCCTTGAGCATCACTCTGGAGCATTGTGGAAGCTATCCTGAAATCCTTATGTAACCCTCTTTCTCTGAAGAATTGCAGTATTAATACAGTAGAATATATAATCACGAGAGGATGCCCAGTTCTCAAAAATTGCTGATGGAGCAGCAGGTTTGATTATGTCAAGGAAAGTGTGTTAGTCACTGAATGGAAGCCATTTTGAGAAGTACAGGTAGTCCTTGACTTATGACCATTTGTTTTGTGACTGTTCGAAGCTATAACAGTGCTGAAAAGAGTGACTTATGACCAATCACAGCATCCCTGCAGTTATAGTACGTGATCCCAATTCAAGCGCTGGGCAACCAGCATCTATTTACAAAGGTCACAGCATCCTGGGGTCATATGATCACCATTTGTTACCTTCCCAGGTAGCTTCCAACAAGCAAGGTCAATGGGGGAAGCCAGATTCACTTAATGACTGTGTGATTTGCTTAATGACCCTGACAAAAAAGGTCATAAAATCAGGTGCAGTCACGTGATGATTCACCTAACAAATGCATTGCTTAGCGATGGAAGTTCCAGTCACAATTTTGGTCATAAGCTGAAGACTACCTGTATTACATCAACAACTTTGCATGTAGAGAAAGATGGAGGATGAAAACCTGTGTTTGAGGGGTCCTTGGTGCTCTCTGAGCTTGGTTGATTTCTTGCAGATGTTACGTTACCCAAACTAGGTAACATCCTTTGTTACAATCCTTTATTACAGACATGTCAAACTGCCGGCCCGCAGGCCAGATGTGTCACACCGAAACCGTGCCGGCAATAGGGAAAAAGTCGCGATACATCGTGTGACGTCACATGACGTCACAAGTTTAACATGCCTGCTTAATTAGGAACTGTGATGATGCAGTGGTTAAAATGCAGCATTGCAGGATAACTCTGTCTATAGCCAGGAGTTGGATTCTGACCAGCGCAAGGTTGACTCAGCCTTCCACCCTTCTGAGGTCGGTAAAATGAGGACCCAGATTGCTGCAGGCAATATGCTGACGTTTGTATACCGCTTAGAGAGGGCTATATGAAGCAGTATATAAGTGCTATTGCTATTTGTTCTTCAGTGGGTGCAATCTCCTATTACAAATGGATAATCTATTGCCCAATCTGAATTGGCAACCACACTTTGGTGATATCTGTTATCTAATATCTTTTATTTTTATTTTAACAAAGATAGGTATGCAGTGTTATTCCAGATTTTCTGGGTTTGGAAGAAAACTTTTCTACTTTCCCCAAACCAAAACTGGGCACGAGGCATTGAGCTGACTGAGCAGGGAATGGTGATATGGAGCTGATCTTTGAAGTGTTCCCTCCTTTCTTATGTTCATTTCTGATGTCTTCCTTCGCAGAATCATCTGCTTCAAGAGCGGAAGCAAGACATGGAGAAACAGATCCGTCGGCTTCGGGAGGAGAACGAATCCATCCAGGTGCTGGTGGACACGTTACACGACAACCTCCTCCTTCTCCGCAAAGAGAGCCGTGAAAAGCAGCTGCGGGTATGTGGTTTATGTACTTGCACATAAAAAGGTTACGTTTCAGGGGAAACAGTGGCCAGTCTTAAAAAGGGACGAAACCGAAAGAGATATGAAACCACTGATGGGAAAATGAGTCACCCGGGGGCGGTTATGCACAGAATTAGGAAGAAGAATTCCATGAAAGCAGTCGCATCTCGGGGAAAAACTCTTCTCCAGAAGCTATTTTCAGCCTCTCTGCTTCCTGTTTCTCTTCCCATCCAAAGTTCAAACAGGTAGAAGCGGAAGCTGAGGAACTCCGGACCGCCAATAGGCGCCTCCAGCATCAGGTCAAAGATTTGAAAGAGGAGGTCCGCCTTCATGAGTTAGATACCTCTGTTACTTCCATCCAATCTGAGATTGAAAGCAGTTTAGGCGATGCTCCAGGAGCCCCTGGACAGACACCAAAGGTAAACTAGAAGGATACACCTGGGGAGGGGTGCTCAGATTCCCTTTTTATGGTCACCGGGGGAAATTTTCAATGTCAAAAGAAGGTTGTAATTTGTGTGCTAATTTGAGAGAGTGCGCAGCATTACACATACCTGACCTATCCTTCCCAAATGTCTATGGCAGGGATAGGCAATCTTGGCTCTTTTATGACTCATGGACTTCAACTCCCAGAATTCCTGAGCCATCACAGCTGGCTCAGGAATTCTGGGAGTTGAAGTCCATGAGTCATAAAAGAGCTGAGGTTGCCTACCCCTGGTCTATGGAGATTCTCAGTCATTCAGGTCATGTTGTCCCAAAGGGGCTTTTTCAAAAGGCAACTGGACTTTGTCTTTCCTTGAAGATGTTTTGCTTCTCATCCAAAAAGCTTCGTCAGTTCTGACTCTTCAGGGGCAATCTTTCCCACACTCTGGGCGTGCAGATAATCTTCGATTTACAACCATACACTAATCCTCGACTTATAATGATCAGTTTAGTGGCTATTCAAAGTTATAACAGCCGTGAAAAGAGTGACTCACAACTGGCCCTCACACTTGTTGTGACCCTCGCAGTATCCACAGAGTCACATGATCAAAACTGAGGTGCTTGGCAACAGGTTATATTTACAATGGTTGCAGCATCCTGGGGTCATGTGATCACCATTTGTGACCTTTCCAGCTGGCTTCCGACAAGCAAAGCCAGAGGGGGAAGCTGGATTTGAGCACATGATTTAATTAACAACTGCAGGGATTCACTTCTTAACCACTTAGGTCAGGGGTAGGCAACCTTGGCTCTTTTATGACTCGTGGACTTCAACTCCCAGAATTCCTGAGCCAGCCATGCTGAGGGGACAGGGAGAAGTTTCTAAGCTGAGCCATGCTGGCTCAGGAATTCTGGGAGTTGAAGTCCCCGAGTCATAAAAGAGCCAAGGTTGCCTATCCATGACAGGTGAAAACGTCATTAAACTGGGCATGATTCACTTAACAGTCATCTTGCTTAGCAATAGAAATTCTGGTTCGAAGGGTGATTGTAAATTGAGGACTACCTGAATTCAAAATATATTGATTGGGACATCTGAAGCATGTTATCTTCGTACCTAGCTGGAACAAATTATAAGACACTTCTGCCCAGCACAATATTCGCTCTTGTTTCCAGCCCTAATGCCTCACCACCCAATTGGAAAATGACCTTTATGTATCTTCCATTCTGTGGGACTTGAAACAATGGAAAAAGACAAGGAACATCGTGAGCCAGTCAGTCAGTTCTCTCATCACTGGATCAAGAAGGAAGCCCAAAACTGGGACTTAAATAATGTCTGGTTGCAGAGCTGTCCCATCCTGATTGATTACAAATCCTCTCACTCATACCCTATGCACACACCATCACTGTTTTATTTTCTGAAAGACATAAATTGCCTCCACACCTGCCAGATGTTTAATCTTGTTTGACAGTTGAAAATAATAATAAATAAATGACCCCTTGTGGTGGGAGCCACTGGGCTCTGAGAATAGCATCTCTTCTGTCCTTATCAAAAAGCCTCTGAAAAGAGTAATATTAAAACAATAGTAGGGTGATAGGTGTTCTCCTGAGCCCAGGTTGGCTTATTCCTAAGAAACCATGCACACAATTGCAATTTGGTCCAAAGGGAGATAGTTGGTATCTTAATGCAACGGGAGAGAAACCCATGAAGACTTGTCCTGGTGAGATTCACATGAAGACAATGTGGTTGTATAGATAATCCTCGGATAAACCACAATGGAAACCCAAAATTTCCATTGCTAAGAAAGATGGGTGTTTTGCCCTGTTTTACGACATTTCTTGCCACCGTTGTTGAGTGAATCACTGCATTTCTTAAGTTGGTAACAGGGTTGTTAAGTGAATCTAGGTTTCCCACTGATTTTTGCTTTTGCAGAAGGTTGCAAAAGGTGATCACCCGACCATGGGACACTGCAACCGTCATGAATACATGGTAGTTGCCAAGCATCCAGATTTTGACTATGGGAATGCTGCAGTGGTTGTAAGTGTGAAAAACAGTCATAAGTCACTTTTTTCAGTGGCATGGTAACTTTGAATGGTCGCTAAACGGATAGATATAAGTCTCCTACTTTCTAGCACTAAGCTTTCTGACTCCTTGGGTGGGCATCTATTTATCTGCTTTAGTCAATCACCCACGGCATCCACAAGACTGGTTCCACTCCAAAGAAGGCCTCTCCAAGACCGGAGGAGAACATCTCTGAATACACCAAAAGGGTTTCGGCCTTGAGCTATCAGCAGCAAGACATCCTGGCCCAGAAAGAAATAGAGATTGCGAAACTCCACGATCAGGTAACCTGCGCTGTACTTCTCTCTTAATAATAATAACAATAACAATAATAATAACAACAACAACAACAAAAATAACAATAATAAAAAGTTGGAAAGGACCTTGGAGGTCATCTAGTCCAACCCCCTCCTCAGGCAGGAAACTTCCAGTGTTGGAGCATTCACAACTTCTGGAGGCAGGTTGTTCCACTGGTTAATTGTTCTAACTGTCAGGAAGTTTCTCCTTAGTTCTAGGTTGCTTCTCTCTTTGTTTAGTTTCCATCTGTTGCTTCTTGTCCTGCCTTCAGGTGCTTTGGAGAATAGCTTGGCTCCTCCCTCTTCTTTGGGGCAGCCCCTGAGATATTGGAACACTGCTATCATGTCCCCCCTCGTCCTTCTCTTCATAGACATACCCAAATTCCAGCAACTGTTCCTTATATGTTTTAGCCTCCAGTCCCCTAATCATCTTTGTTGCTCTTCTCTGTACTCTTTCTAGAGTCTCAGCATCTTTTTTACATCGTGGTGACTAAAACTGGATGCAGTATTCCAAGTGTGGCCTTACCAAGGCATTGTAAAGTGGTATTAATACTTCACATGATCTTGATTCTATCCTTCTGTTAATGCAGCCTAGCACTGTGTTGGCTTTTTTGGCAGCTGCAGCACACTGCTGGCTTAATATTTAAGTGATTGTCCACTAGGACTCCAAGATCCCGCTCATAGTTGCTACTATTGAGCAAGATGCCACATATACTATACCTGTGCATTTGGTTTTTCTTGCCTAAATGTAGAACCTTACTTATGGGAGGCCAATCTCTTGTGTGGCTTGGGGACATTGACATTGCATGACTTCTTTTCCATCCCCAGGTGACCTTGCAACACGTGGAGCTCAGCGGTTTGAAGTCTGAGATAGAGAATCAGAGGCGGCTGTACCAAGAAAGCAATCGGGACAAGGCCTTGAAGTTAGCCGTAGCAGACCGGGATGAGGCTATATTCAAGTGAGCTCTGACGATTGGCTTTGCAAACCCCATACACTGTATTGATTTGACTTAACAACCCTTCGTTTAGCAACCATTCAGAGTTACAAAGGAGCTGAAAAAAAGTAATTTATGATTGGTCCTTCTACTTAGGATCATTGCAGCATCCCCCACAGTCATGTGATCAAATTTGGGTGCTTGGCAACCAGCACGTATTTAGAATGGTAGCAGTGTCCCAAGGTCATGTGATCACCATTTGCAACCTTACAAACCCGCTTCTGACAAGAAAAGTCAATGGCGGAAGCCAGATTTGCTTAGCAACCCTATGATTCACTTAACAACCATGGGGATTCACCTAATGGCTGTGTCAAAAAAAAAATAAAGCTGGCGTGACTCACTTAACATCTGCCTAGCTTAGCAACAGAAGTTCCAGTCCCAATTGTCATAAATTGAGGACTATCTATAATCCCTTTGCTCCTGATACTATGATTGCTTCTGGGCTCGTTGCCGGTCAAAGCAGCTGGACCAGCCTGTCTATCTTGGAGAGGCAACTTTCAAAGTCCTCGGCAGTCATTAATAAAGCCACTACATTTGGAGTTATCAGATTGGGGAAAACTGAGTTAGACCCAATCATATGGGCTCACTGGCAAGGCAGATTAAATGAGACCCCCATCTTCCAAGGCAGTTTACCATAGGCCAGGGGTAGGCAACCTTGGCTCTTTTATGACTCGTGGACTTCAACTCCCAGAATTCCTGAGCCAGCCATGCCTACCCCTGCCATAGGCTAATGTTTCCCAACCTTGGCAGCTTTAAGATCTCTAAACCTCAACTCCCAGAGTTCTTTAGCCAGCCTGGCTGACTGAAGAATTCTGGGAACTGAAGTCCACACATTTTAAATCTGCCAAAGTTAAGAACCACTGTTCCATGGCAGCAGCCATTATGGAACGGAGATACCCTTCTCCATCCCAGTTAGGGCTCCCTCATTATGTGAGAACAAAAGCTAGAATTTGTACTTTCCTGTAAATGCAACAAAAAATAATCGAAGTTATAATCTCTACCATTGCATTACATAGTTTAGGTAATGAAACGTCCGCAAGAAAACAACCAAGCTCCTAATTTCAACCCTAAGCTACAAATATTCTCCTTTTTTGCCACCATTGCATTTTCTTACAGCGAGTGGCCTTATTTATGATGAGGGTGCATTATTGCGAGGGTTGAAAGGATGGAAATGAGACCTTGGAGGAAATCTTTATGCATCGGCCTTGAATCTTTCCAATTTTAGCGAAATCGTGTTCCTTTTCTGCTTATCAAAGTTATTCAACCTGAATAAACTTGCTGACTGCACTATACACTCTGCAAAAGTTGCTTGTTTGAACAACTGTAATCTTTATTGCTAGTGGGTTAATTAATAACAGCAAAACCACACCTTTAATGGAATTGCCATACAATAACACCAAATTTGAAGTCATTGCACTGATACTATTAGACTAGAAAATTCAATCGAAAATGCTGCCCATTCCCTAAAAAGCTTTTTTATAGCATAGCACCAGGTTATATCAGAACCAAAGGAGAATCCACCAAGGACACATTTAGCAACTGCCAGCTACCCAAAATTCAATATCACAAATTTATGACATCACAAAATAATGTCTACTCAGGAAGGTGAAAATAAATAGAAGTAATAATGACGATTCTCTCTATTTGTAATAATACAGGAAATGACCTTGGGAGACCAGCCAAACAGATGCTGCCTATGGACTGGTCAGATAAAAGGGAGTTGACTCGTGGATTTCATGCTGGCTCAGGAATTCTGGGAGTTGAAGTCCATGAGCCATGCTGTCTCAGGAATTCTGGGAGTTGAAGTCCATGAGCCATGCTGTCTCAGGAATTCTGGGAGTTGAAGTCCATGAGCCATGCTGTCTCAGGAATTCTGGGAGTTGAAGTCCATGAGCCATGCCGTCTCAGGAATTCTGGGAGTTGAAGTCCATGAGCCATGCTGTCTCAGGAATTCTGGGAGTTGAAGTCCATGAGCCATGCTGGCTCAGGAATTCTGGGAGTTGAAGTCCATGAGCCATGCTGGCTCAGGAATTCTGGGAGTTGAAGTCCATGAGTCATAAAAGAGCCGAGGTTGCCTACCCCTGAACTAGACATAGGGAACCATTTTTTCCCTTGGGCCATCACTCGGCTAAACACCTAATTCTTACAGAACGGTCTAATGTCTATGTATACAGTCAATGTATGACCACGATTGAGTCCAAAATTTATGTTGCTAAGTGAGAAATTTGATAAATGAATTTTGCCCCATTTTACGACTTTTCTTGCCACATTTGTTAAGTGAATCACTGCAGTTGTTAAATTAGTAACATGGTTGTTAGCGTAAATCTGACTTCCCCATTGACTTTGCTTGTCAGAAGATTGGTGATCACATGACACCGGAACACTGCAACCGTCATAAATGTGACTCAGTTGTCAAACAGCCCAATGTAAATCATGTGAGCATGGGGATGCTGCAATGGTCATAAGTGTGAAAAATGGTCAGGTCACTTTTTTCAGTGCCATTGTAACGTTGGTCACTTAGCGAACTGTTGTAAGTCAAGGACTACCTGTATTTACTGATGTAGTATGACGGTAGCATTATTATCCTTCTTACCTTCTTTACTAACCCCTCTTGTACTGTAGGTAAGATTATTATGATTATTCTACTGTTGCTTTGCATGTATACTTTGAGCTTCTGCACCAGAGACACTAATCACACTTGGCCAAGTTATTTGCAAGACCGCCTCCTACCAAACACCTCCCTTCGACCAGTCTGCTCCCACAGAGAGGGCCTCCTTAGGGTGCCGTCGGCCAGACAATGCCGGCTGGCGACCCCCAGGGGGAGAGCCTTCTCTGTGGCAGCTCCTGCCCTCTGGAATGACCTACCCCCCGACCTACGTACAGTTGCGGACCTGCGCCTTTTTCGCTGAGCCCTGAAGGCCCATCTATTCCGTGCGGCCGGCCTGGCGTAGTT